GCTAGCTTCAAAAGACGACCTGTGGCCATGGTTAGTGTGCAAGCCAGAGACTTAAGCCCAGCACATACAGCTTTTGGTCTAAGAGTAAGAGTACGAGATGAGCCAGGCCTTATTTCCCTAAGTTCCCAACCAAAAAGGACGAGAGTGGTCAGTGCCAGGGGACAACAAGATGTATAAAGTCTGAGGCACTGCCACAAACACCACTTTGATTACCCTGCTATACCGTTTTGGGGAGCCATGTTCCTGCTGCTCCTACTGCACAGTGCAACACAACCCTGGTGTATTTTGCATGAATTTGTTGCAGTTAACTGATACAAAAGAGAAGAGAGGGAACTAATCTTGCCTGCAGGACTCAATGAATTATACTTAACCAACATATTACTGTAGGATGATAGTAGCCTGCCACATGAACACAGATATAATCAAATTCTGTTTGGGGCATCATTTATTTAAAATACTTCAAGCTTCTTGACTGTAGAGCAACAGCAAATTATCCTGCTATGCTGCGCACTTCAATTAAGCAGCAGCCTCATCCTTCCCATTGCCAAGGTACAGTGGAGCAAATCCAATTGTGCCATGCGGCCAGTTTTCATCCCTGTAGAGTAACCAATGCTTTTGGTTTGATTTTATGTTTTGTTGCTGCTGTTTTTAACAGATTCTTCTCGTGAACAAGGCAATGTGGGCTTTTATGAGTCTTGCCTCCTAATTGCAGGCAATAAGCATAAACACAATTAGCAGCAGAGGCTGCGACAACTAGAGTTTAAATAAAATGAAAATAAAGGTAAGAAAGCAACTACGAAGCAACATCATTTTGTGTATGTTCTGAATAGTTAAACAAGCAGGAGCTATATTTCAGTGCTCAGGAGACAGAAATATATTTCTCCTTTAATATAAATTAAAAAACAAACAGTCCCCCAAATCTATAACTTAAATGGTGAGATATGTTAATATACATTATATATCAGAGGGTTAAAAGGTATGACTAAGGAAAATATTTATAAGCCATGATGTTATTTTAATATTTGCTTATGGAAAATCCCTATTCTTGCCTTTAGGCTAAGGTCTTTGAATATGATAGACTAGGAAAAGTCCAGAAGCATCTTCTGTGCTTTGGTAAGTTTAACTGATGTGTTGGTTCTGACTTGAGCTCTCCCTGTCATAGTGACCATCATCCCCTACTGTGAACAAGTGAGTTCTCGTGCTTACCCTTAATCCACTCTTCATTTCCCATCTCTGGTATAAACAATGCAATGCGCTCAGAGAGAAATTTAGTGTGGTGACTCCACAGAACAACATAAAGATTAGTCTGAAAGGTCTTCTGGAGACTATCTAGGTGAGGCCGATAGTACTGGTGACACTACGTGGGCTGAGCTCGGCCTTGGCCCACACGAGCCTGAAACCCTTGGGATGGAGGTCACCCGACCTCGCCAGGCAATATGTTCCTGTGCTGCTTTATCCTCTCACCTAGAGGGAATTCTTGACTTCTGGACCAAAATTACAAAACCAAACACAGACATTCATGGGTTTAAAACCATAGTATTGGTCCTGAAGGTTCAATACCATTTTTAGAAGTATATGCTAAAAGATTTAAAGATTCTTTGTATGGTTTCCAGGGAAGAGATACAAAACTTACCACAAATACAGTAATAATCTGCTGTCCACCATATTGTCTTTCTGCTTATTAAACGTTTTGTACACTTACATTATCTGATTCAAGGAAAATCTGTGCATTAGTACTGTTTAACCTCACAATAAAAACTCTCAGGATTTTTAATGGTCTACAGCTACAGTTGCACACTGTTCTCAAAGAATACACATCTTAACTTTATTATCATTAATCAGCATTAGTAAACATAATTGACATTTTATACAGAACCAGCTTTAAGTAACTTATTGGCAGAAATACAGATGCATCTCTAATATTACCCTCTGGCTAGCTATGCTGTTCAGGCGCCAGAGTGTCTGCACTAATGATTTGGAATTAAAATCAAATAAAAGCTGAGAACTGTAATGCAGCACAAAACAAGCAGCCACTTTTAGTACCAGTTTTTTATATATCTTATTTGGATATATCTGGAATTTTTAAAAAATTACTGTGGTATGAAACAGTGGAAGTGTCTGAGAGGAGATAACAAAATGGGATAGAGAAAAAGTGAATCTAATGTTCCCAGATTTCTACACTTACCCTTAGGCACACCATAGGAATTGAAATGAGAAGCAAAAGTAGACAGTGCAATTAACCTTTCTTTTCCTTTTTTCTTTTTTTTTTTAAAGCAGAACATTTTAGACATTAAAAATAGCAAAAATACACATACATGTATTTCTGCCTTTATTTTTCATCTCACCAATTTCTTTAGTTTCCTGAGGATTTAATGTGCTTAGGCATGAAAAGGGACGTAATCCCTAAGAAATTTTCCTATGAAGATCTGGATTATGTTATCAAAAAGATTTAAGAAACCCTGCTTCACTGTACAAACAGGAAAGCTCTTCTGCCTCCCAAAGCTTCCTGCCCGGCTGTCTGGGCACTGAACACGTTTTTTTTCAGAGCCTATATGAGCCCTCTCTTCCTCCCATTACGTATCTACCACCTGCCTGACTTCAGCTCTGGAAAACCTGGTATTAGGAGCTAAGCCAAAGTACATCCTAGCACTTGCCTGGTTTATGAGGGGTCTCCAGGGGAGACTCCACTTGCAGAACCTCCCATGAAGAGCACTGAGAGATGTCCTAGCACGTAGCGTTTTTCTCAGCCTTTGCCTCAGCGAACTACATTTAAAGCCACTACCATTTGTCATGGCCACCTCCGAGGAAGAATCTCTGGATCTGGCCCCTTAAAGATCATTTGGTTTATTTATTTATTGGTCTAAAGAACTGGATTCTGTTCTGAGCTCTCATTTTCGTAAGAAAGTTAAAAGACAAGATATGTTTAAGTGAGAGCAACATATATTAAACATTCAAAAGAATATCCATATTGCTTGGGAAAGTGAGAATTACTATTATTATACAAGCACATGCTTATATAAAAGGTAATCTTACTTTATGGATCCGATCTCCTCCAATGAGAGCCACAAATCCATGCAATAGCCCTGAGTGCTCCAATTTTGCATTTGGTTCTCTAATTTTACAGTAGCTGAAAGATATGTAAAAACTCATGTAGCAGGCAGCTCCCTACTGACTACACATCTAAGCAACTTCACATACATTTATTATTGCAACCAGTGCAGGTTGGAAATAATACACACTACACACTTTAAATAAAAAGAGAAAAAAAAAAAAAAGAAAAAAAAAAAAGAGAGAGCTTGAAATGAGCCTATTTCAGTTTCCATGCAATTCCCTCAGGGCTCTCCCTGACTAAATCATACCCTTCCACAGGGTTTTGCCATCTCATGTGGAGACAATCCAAACTACTGATCTATACCATGGAGAGGGAAGGGTGGGAATTGCTTCACAAACTGATAAAAGTTGCTATTATGACTGTTTGTTGTTAAAAATACTTTTGAAAAAAAAATAGCTATTACCATCTTCCTAGAATCGTCTTGAAGGTTTTTTTGCGATTGTTTTTCTCCTCTCAATTTTTTTGATTTTTTTTCCCCCCTCCTAATCAAAACTTTGCAAAATGACCATTAGCCATGAAAAGCATCTAAGTTACTTCCATTAAAATAACAACCTATTGCAGGGAATATACTGACATACTTTTGCACCTAGAAAATAATAAAATTCTCACGCACAAGGCCTAACAGTAACATTATTGTGATAAAGATTCAAGTGAAGTGTGTCCAGTTCTGTTTTCCCTTGAAATCATTGCAGCTCCTATTGTCTCCCTGGCAAAGTTTCACCATGTCAATGGCTTAGTTATCCAAGCACACCTCAGTTCTCAAATAGTCTGCGTCAGGCCAAGGAGGGAGGATGAATCAAGAGGTTTACGACTCTCCACTGAGAGGATCAGCTGAACGGTGCATGTAGTTATTAGGGGATATAACTGTGATCCCCATGATGCATCTTCCTCCTCCTCTCTCTCCTGTCAGTCATAAGGTGGGAAATCTTCTATGAAATTAAGCACTTGGAAGACAGGATTTGCCAAATAGGTGCCTGAATATGCAGACTCAGACCAACTATCTTCTTGTGTACCTGAAGCCCAGAAGTCTTTGGAAAGTTTGATGGTCAAACTGAGAAAAATATCTCCCAAGAGACTGGGAGAACCAAAATTTCTCAGCGACTTACTACATTACCATACTTATGCATGTTTCTGAGCCCAAATAAACTTCAAAGCTATGGACAAAACATGCAAAAATCTGAAAAGTTTGAAGAGAAATGAATGTAACAACTGTTTTTTGAGAACATTTGTTTTTTTCATGAGCAAAACAAGATACTTTCTCCTAAACAATGTCATGGAAAGTATTCAAAAATCCTGCATCAGATTTCAGCGTGCCAAAGACACAAGGCATAGATAATGACTGCCCAAACTGTACACAACCGTCAAGTCTGTGTGTTGCAGAACATGGTCTTACAGCAGGAAAAGGCAACTGCAGGTGGCACTACCAGAATGTACGTCACATATCAGTGGCACATAACAGCTCAGAAATACCGTTAGGTTCAAATGCTAAAAATCATACAATGAAACATGTGAAATGTGCCTGTACCTCATGTATTTCCAAATCATGATTGATATACACAGTCTGCACTGTGTCGTGATCTGGAAGACAGCTACAGGGCACTGCGGTGGCAATCACCAAACTCTGTCCAAGCAGGTTTGGAAAATTATCTGTTTTATTACTGTTTCCTCTCCAATACATAATGTATTTTTATTCTCAACAAAAATAAGCATTTTGTATATTCGTAGCTTCTGTCATTTTTCACTTGCAGCAATAAATATTTAAATATGTTCGACCCCAAAACCCAAAGCTAGTGACCTGCTGCTCGTGTCCTTCCCTGGAGGTGCCGCGCTCAGAGTGCTAGGGCAGGATGCTGAGGAGACAGCAAAGAGGTTGCTGCTGGGGTCTTACCTGCCCACAGGCCAGGCCCATGCCTCTCTCTCCCATCCCATGGGGACACGATAAATTCAGCTCCAGTGCGTCCGCACCAGCAACCTATGAAATGTGCAAAAGGTAAAAAAAAGCATAATCTTAAGTAATTAACTCTTTCATTGTAGCATTAATTGCTCACGTCAAAGAGATCTTTTTAGGTGCTTGATTTATTATAAAGATAAAAATCGCAAAGCTGTTGTTATAATAGCCTGAATATCAAACGTGTTGATTATTGTCAAGAAAAAAAAAAATTCAAGAATTGATGTGGCTTTCCAAAAGGAAAATAGAGCAAAACAGAAATTAACAACAGACAACCACGATAAGGGCTTTTCTTTTCTGCAAAATATTAGAAAATGAGATATATAATAGGGTCTTACTGAAGCCATAAGAGAAAGGTTTAGCAGTTTGCGTTACACAGGTAGCTTCTGTGCTCTGAAGAACTGTGCCTCTTAGTAGCAATTTTCTCCTGTTTGCTTTGATGGATTTTGCCTCTCTGTATTGTTTGCAGATGCCTGTGCCACAGCTTCTGTGGCTGAGTAGTTTGTTTCTGTAGTCTGCCAAGGCTACTAAAAAAAGCCCATGCAAACATATTAAGTGGGTTAATTTCTCTTCAGCACCCTCTGTTAGTCAAAGCTAAAGAGGAAAAGCTGCTGACGTGCAGAAGGGCAGTGCACAAACACATCTCCATTCCTCCCTGCGGAACTGCTCCTGCCTACGACTAGGATCTCTCCCTTGGCTTTCCATTTGGCTGCAAATCCTATTTTGTCATGCATTTGCATTTGGCTTTTCTTATTGACCTGACGTACTTTGGCCTGCTGCGTGGCCACGGTTCAGCAGTGCTGCGCGGCGCGATCCGGCAGGAAGCTATCCATCATTTCCAGGAACGCGCCCGGCGCCAGCCGGCTCCACAGCGCAGGGCCCGTGTTATCGGCCTCCGTGACAAGCTGACCTTTCGGACGAATAGGTCGTCCTCCTGTGGAGAGGGATCCCGCAACCTTCCGGGGCTCGTGCTCTTTGCAAAGCCACATCTATTACCTGCTGGAGAGCGTCTTAGGCATGTGATAAAATATCACTGCTCTACAAGCAGTGGATTCCAGAGTGCCCCAACAAGTGCAACCCTGTGTGCAAAGTCAAGATTATTTGCCACAGAAAGCAAGATTACATATATGGGGCATTATTAAATGCATTTAAATAATCAATCTTTTCCAAAGGAGTAACAAGTGCAAGCAGAGATTGAAAGTATCTGCCTTAAAATTAGGTAGCAGTGGCACTGTACTAAAAATAGGGAGCACGTGGCACTATAAAGCCATTCATCAGAGTCAGTTTAAAAGCAGCAGAGCTCATGTCAAGCATGGATTCCACAAAAGATTTCATGGTCAATTAGGTAAATACAGGTATAAAATGGACTAGCATTGAAGATCACAAAGCCAATTACTGATGATGTTTAATTTTGCTTCCCTAAGTCCCCAAAGTGATTTTTTCCCTCACAGGTTTAAAATGTCCAAAGAAAACAGAGAAGTGTCTTCCTGTATTACCATGAGAGGCTTTAAAACACTGGGAATAAAGAAGAACGGATACCCAAACATATACACACATGACTTCATGAAACATGACTTTAAAACATCTGAACCCATAATTATATACAGATATGTATATGTATATATATATACACACACACACACAAAACATATACACAAAATATGTATCTGTACAATATTTATAAAACACTATGCTGATAAACACAATAAAGAAAAAATTATTAGTTTATCATTATCAGTATGTTAAAGCCTTCCTTTACTGGCCTGAAAAGATGCTTTTAATTTCCTCTAGGTATTTTGATCTGTCATGAAATTTTCATTTAAAAAAAACAAACACAACTTCCTATATATACATTATTCTCTTAATTGACTGTTTCTTATAGTATTCACTATGGAACATGTTTTGTACAGATTTTTTTCCTTCAAATGATTTCAAAAAAACAAAGTTTTGGGGGTATGGTCTGTTTGTATTTGTCTAAGACTGGAATTATATTATAGGAAGCCTGCTGACTGCCATTACATATACCAGCTTCCTCTCCTATCATTTTTGAAAGTCTGTATTAAAACTGGAATAGCATTAAATGAGCCTTTTATACTTTAAATATTGAAGAGTTTTATATTCAAAATTTCTTCTGGTGCTGTCAAACTAGTGTGCCTGTAGGCAAGGTAAGATCAAGTTAGACTCTCAAAGGCAGAATTAAATTTTATCAGGGCATCCGTCATAATACACAGTTTGCTTAAAATGCAAATAAAAAGTATATAGATTCAAAGTCTAAAGGCTTTCCAGGTGCTGTTTAAAAATCCAAGGGACCATTTTTACAGAATAGGTTTCCTTTAATTTACATTCCCATCATTTTAATGAAATCACAGAATAAACAAATTATAATGGACACGTTTTAACCTCCATTTTGCACATTGACTCTACTTCCTTCAAGAAATTTCTTTTTATATTTATAAAGAATAAGACAAAAATGATGAAGAAGCACAATTAGGAAAACATTACCTCAGCCATTTTTGAAAGTTCAGTCCAATCACTCTTGCTATAGGTGCTCATGATACTGGCAATTAGAATCTGAAAAGAATAAATATGCATTCACTTCAAGCTGTGTTACCAGATTTTGTATGCAAAAACTCCAGACATTAACTATTTGTATAGTTAACATAAATACCTGTATATGGGAATCAAAGCACTAGAGATGAAAAAATGGGTCTAAAGGGTCACCCGTTTTGTCAACAGCAAGTCGCTACGCAAAACTAGTAGGCCTGTTCAGACATACAGGAATTCACAAACATATAGGAATTCACAAACATAGGAATTCATATGGGACATGATTAAATGAGAACAAAGGCAATTGGAAGCACAGACCCAATGGTGAGATGTAGCTGGTGTTCAGCTTGGCGGAACATTTAAATTCTTTATTATTCATATAATATCAGAAGTGTTTGGGGCTTGGTAGAGAAACTGTCATGGGAGGAAAGCAGAAAAATATTTGGCCACACTTCTTGCTTATGAAAGTTTTAATTTTGCTTCACAGGTAGGATGAGCTTAGTTGAGTCTTGTTTTCCAAACACGCTTCACAATCTGCGTTAATATCTGCAATGAGTTTATCCTTTCCCTTCCAGTCTGTGTACCACTTCTCTTGAACTTTCCCATAATGTTAAGGGCTAATGACTCATTCATAGATTAGAGAGTATTTAAAAATCTAGTCTATAAAAATCATCCAAAATACATCTTTTGGAAGCTGTAAACTCTCAAATTATTTCCAGAATAAACCCGATATATTCACTATCTTCAGAAAAGCAGAAAGTACACCTAGAAAGGGAAGGTAGTTATGGAGAAAAGTAGGTCTGTCTAGGCCACAATATATTCATTTAAAAGGACAATACGACTCGTAACTGCCGTTACGTTCCAATACTTGCTGGATGGGTGTCTCCCTATCAATCTACCTCCCACCTACCTACAAACTAGCTACAAAAGTCACCTTTCTGCCTGAGGTCTGCGAGATGCAGGTCTCTTGAGAAGAAGCATTTGAAGAAGTATCTGCCTTGCTATTATGTACCCCTTCATTTGCATCATCTCTGGCATAAATAGTTTTTCGTTGGACCCACACGATCTTTCCTGGCTGTGACTTTATTCCATACTTGAAAGAGATAAAGCTTGTCACTTCTATATAACCCGTTTTCTATTGCAAACAGCCTTAGATAGGTTTATACAAATGTTTATGAAACAGAATTTGCTCTATCAACTACTCAGTATTCAAGAGAACTTGGCAACTCGGGAAAAAAACATAAATGTCTTTAAAGAACTTTATTTTTTAGGACATACCTGAAAATATTTCATTGTGAAAATTCATTTTAAGAAAGTCTATATGAGAAAATCTGGGAGTAAAAATGTTACTTAAATTACTGCAACATCTGCAAGCTTACTAGAAACTGTATCTTTTGCAAATTCACACTTTTTGCAAGGTAACTAAAGGGAACACAACAAAACAAAAGAACTACTCAAATCCTAACAACATGATAAGAATTTCCACAGTTAGTCACCATGCAAATGATAAGAGAATTCAGCCGCTATACAAACCAAACTTTTCACGCGGTAAAGCTGTGGGACATCCAGGGTGACGAAGCACAAGAACAAGAGCATGGCTCTGTCAAGCACTGTTAATGAAATCTGAAAAATCTGCTGAGAGGGTACAACGGGGGAAGAACAACACAGGTGATACGTCAAAGAGCTGCTAATTAAGACAGCATATTTTTAAATATTGATTCCCATTCAAATTTAGAAGTATTTATGTCTGACAGAAGCAGTGTACAGTGTTTACAGTAACAAAAATGACTGAAAGAAAAAAATACATTTCTGATGTTGCTGTTCACATGAAACCCAGGATCTCAAAGGGGATAATAGATATATCTTAAATAGGCATTTAATTCTCTTTGTATTCCTTGATGCGCTCTGAGAACTTGAAATGCACCTTAATTCCTATGTGGAGGCAAATGCCCCAGCCCTCCATGTTAACAGGCTCTTCTTGTTCAAGTGTTTTTCTTTCCCCCCAAACACCTTGATGGCCCTGCCATTTGCTACCAATGACCTCCCCACCCTCTATCCCTCCAAAAATCAGACATGGGCCTGTAGGTGCATTGCTTCTGATGTGTGGGACTGGAACCCGCTCCTAAAATTACACATGGGAGGTTATGAAAAATACATGGAATATTATCATACGTTACCTCCTAGAAAGCGCATAGTAGAAGACAGGTAGCAATAACAACTGCTAAAAGTCACAGTTTATATTAAATTCAATCAATCCTACTGCATTCCAGCCTCTCCTCACTATCCTATTCACCCTTTCCGGACACACGTGCCCGCTTTTCCACAGCATCCCGGCGTGCCGAGCCGCGGAGCTCCCGATCCCGCCAGAGCTCCGTGCCCCGCACGGGGGCTCCCGATGCCGCCGCCGCGCTGGGCACGGCCACCCTGGTGGCGCAGCAGGCTCCTCGCGGCCCAGCCCGGCACGACGTGCCGCAGAACTCGGCCACCGCTCGCGAGCGGCTAACTGCAGCGCTGCAGCAGCCGACACTGTGTCCTGTACGGGATTTTGTTCATCGCTCATGCACAGGATTTTACTCATCACTCATGTACGGGACTTTCTTCATCACACTTTTTTGGGGGTGGGGGGAGCCAAGATGGAAATGGGAGGTACATAATGTACCATTTAGGACGTGATTATAAAATGAATATACTGTAGCTAAAGCACCTAGTAAAAACCTCCATTTCACACAATTCTGTAACTAATGCATTAGTAGTTGTTCTACTTAAAAGGCAATGACAAGATACTTCTCATAATCCTTAAAATATTTTTTCTCCCTGTACGTAATAATCCCCTGGAAGCTTAAACTAGACTCTATTTCCCTTGTGATTTTTTTAATTTCATTTCTATTATCTTTACAGGGATGTCTCAGGAATGCAATAGCATGAAAAAACAATAGAATAAGGTTCACCAGTGCATATGGTTTTAAATGATCTTTCTCCTCTATGACTGACAATGGGATGAGTTTCAGAACAAAAGGATGGAGAGGAAAAAAAATGATGGGGCCTACTTTGGGTCACACAGTTCTGAGTACATCTGTTTAAATGAGGACAGCAGTAAAACTGTAGGTAGACAATTTGTCCTGCACTGCTCCGGAGGGACTAGGGGAGCTCCAGTACATTCAAAGATTTTGAAACATCTCAAGGGACTGGATTTAAATGCAAACACTGTCAGTTCCTGCAAATTTAAGAAAACTTCCAAACAATCCCCAAGCTATCGCAATGATCCGTTCACGTGCCACTAATAACCATATTTTTACGCTCCTCCAACACTGGCCCTTAATCCACATCTATCCCTAAACGATTCCTGCAGATCTGCGTATAATCTCCCCGCACTTAAGCAAATCCAGCCGCCCCAACCAGTGCGGCCCTCACACCAGGCTTGATTAATTTTCAGCTCGAGGTAAGTTCTGCCCCAAGCGTCAACAGATGTTCCACAGAGACGCTGCTGCCGGCTGCAGCCTGCGCCTCATTCTGCATGCGGAAGCGCTTGCAAAAATCCCCAGGATTTTGTATCTGATTTGCAAACTCCTTGCAGAAATAGGAGGAGACGGTGAATATTTTCACTAAGAGAATGTTCCCCTGAAAGCTGTCAAAGCAAGAGTTTTCACGGAGGCAGAACGACTGGTTTTGTAACAGTTACCTATTTGAGAAAGAGAGATGTAGAAAAAGGGCCATTGCTGTTTATTAGATGGAATGTAGAGATTGAAGACTATCTTAAGAAAAAGATTTCAGGCTTGCTCAGCTAGCCTCTGCAAGTCGTACTCTGAACATAAACACAGTTATGCCATGTTTTGCTAGAAGAAATACCCAGCTCAATGCCACCTTTGCCACCACTACAGCTGTAGTCCTCTGTTTTTTCCACATGAACATTGATGAAATGATCACTCAAAATCATCTTTCTTCCTTCATCTACTAGATGAAGGCTTTATCATCTACTTCATCTGGCTTCTTACACTAAAGATTTTTTTTTTTCCCACACAAGCTGCAGTGCACATTTTAGACACAAATTGCTGCTTTGGACAAGAGAAAATTCACCCCCAAATGTTTTACCTAGCTTGGGGATTCATGCTGGAGAGTCCCTGCTCCACGCAGCTGTGTGTGACACGGGGCACCACGGCAGGCAGCACTCACTGCAGTGGCTGTGCCAGCGCAGACACTCGGCGATGGATGAGGCCGCGCAGCAAGCGTGACGCTACTGGAAATCAATTAGGATCTTAGCAAACTGACAAGCACCAGTAAATGTTTGCTATTCAATCATTATTTGGGATCCTCCTTAACTTGGGAGGAGTTAGACTCCATGTTTCAGCAAAGAACAAACAGCTCAAAGAGCGCAGAACCTTCCTAACCTGTCTCAGGAGACGTGACGTTTGTGCTGGGTGCATTCGGAGCCACAGATGCCTTGGATATAAATCTGTGAAAAATAACTGATTTATTAGTTAGGGAACACATTATTATTAGCACAACAATGAGAGCTTTTTTTTTTTTTTTTTTTTAACTATTGTAAAAAATAGTTAAAAAATAAAACCAAAACCCCCAAACCCTAGGGACTGGACTGAGTTTGGTGCCTTATAGACTGAACCAGGTTTCTCTTTTATTGCACTTTCCTGTGTATTTTTCATGTGTTGCAGAACTGAAAAGAAAATAAACTTCTTATTAAAAACTACCTAGAACATCAAATCCCATGCAATAAGAAAGTTAACAATTGCAAACCCTGTCATGTCTCTGAGAAGCAGAGGAATTATCTTGTTATCAATTTAATAATGGAACATTGAAGTAAATGATGCCATCCACTGACACCAGTAACACTGTCTCTCCTGGGAAATTCATGTCTGTAGGAACTGTCAATCTAGATGGATATGGACATATTAAACATTGTACCTTCAGTCCATAAATCTATTCTTTCTATGCTGCCTTAATAAAAAGATTCTGCATGATGATAAAGACAAGCAATGCAGAATGTCTTGACATTGCTGACCTGAAATTCG